TCTTAAAACTATTCGAAGTGTATAAATAAAATTATTACATCACGTCAGGTTTAGTGAAAGGCATTTATTGATTTTGATAAAATTCGTATGATGGAGTGATATAATTTTTTATTCTACATTATAAAACCTTTTTTTTAACAATTGGGTTTTCTCTTATAGCCAGTAGACACAGTGTCCCTCTGGAGGCGTCAACAGAAGTCTCCAAGCATGGCTACTTTGCAATTACTTGTTGGAATCTTTCTTCAGGATCATCACTCATTAAATCCATGTTTTATGGAAAAAAACTCAAATGGGAGTGTCAAAATGTATTTTAAGCGACATATTGCATCCTTGTTTGTGATCAGCATCGAGAATTTGGGCGATTTGTGATTGCCGAGATTTTTTTTTGTAACAGCGACAAAAGCCAACTATGCCTGTTTTTCAATGGGTCTGAGGCTAGATAAAAACTCGGGATCATTGATTAATTTTCGTATGTCAGGTCCTATAAAAATTTCTTCTTTAATTTTCGCCTCACTTAGCGTAGGAATTTTGGTTGGGTTTGGTTTGGTTTGGAAATCTTCCCAGTACTGGAATGTCTGGAAAATTAGGTAGCGGCATCGACTTTTTCGAAAAACCTTTCAATGTTGTCAAACAGAACTAATAGTCTTCTACGTGATTTTTGGGTTCACGCCAACGCATGGGTATACCAAAGGGAATTTGTTTTATAGTAATCTTGTGTCAAGCCGTCAAATACTTGTAGCACCTTAAACAACACACTTTAGGCACCCACAATTGATCTTGATTAATTGTAATCTTAAAATAATCTTCATAAAACTTCTCAAACAACGGTGAAATGGGCTTTTCACTTTTAGGAGTGAATTCACCACGATCATAACAAAATAAGTCAGGAGAATTAACACAAACACATTGTATTTTATAGATTAGTGAGTCTAAATGTTTTGATGACTTGTGTGCCCAAAAAAGATATATTTTTGTGGCTACCCTCAAAAAGTGAAGCAGAAAGTTAACAAACTAAGATTCCCGTTATTTATTTTTTGTGGCGTGATATGTATATATTAATGTGTTTTCTGTATTTCACTAAGCTATGCTTAATACGAATTAAAATTCAGGGTACCAGTGATTTTTTTGATGTTGCATAGCTTTATCATTTACTTTCTTCTCTACACTGTGACATTTACGCTGGAGCGCATTAAATCTTGATTTAAGTATTCACTGTCAAATATTTATTACCTCTTGTTCCGGTACTAGTTCAAGCATTTAAGCAATAAGAGACATTGGATAACAAACGCCATTTCTATTAGCAAGGAGGTCGTCCAATTACAAAGGACGTTTTAGGATATTCTTTGGTGATAAGATTTCAAATTAAATACGAGTGGCGAAGCTTTTGTATTATTGATTAATTTATCCATCACGATTGATAATGAAACTTTTGATATGGAACTTTATGTAATTTATAATAGTAACAATAAACATCACATACTTTATTGTTTTTTCTAACATAAAGAAATAATGAAAATTTTACTAGAAAAATATCCACGCGGCCCAGGGAACAGACCATTTTTCTAGTAAAATTTTCATTAGATTTAAACATCTAGCAGTTAAAATGCTTAAAGAATAATACAAATATACCTATGAAGAAATAAGTTTATATTACACAAAGAATTAAAATAATTTATACTTGTTTACCAGAATAGTCTTTTAGAAACATTTATGTAAAGAATACATGAAACTACTTAGTTCATCATTACATCAAATACCTACAGAACCTACTCACAGTTGTATAGATAGATACCTTTTGAGATTAACGGAAACAAAACTATGAAGAAAAATTTGAAAAACTAAGAATAATATGCTAAAAAGCTAAAATTGATTGATGCCGAATTGAGAAATTATTAGTAAAGTTTGAAAATTATTTAAAAGAAAAAACAATTGCTGTCATGCATTGGCAAATATTGTGCGATAGTGACAACAGTAGTTAACGCTGAAAATTGCGTATAAAAATTGGACCCATAGAATAAAAAGTAGTTAAACTATGCCTCTTTGTTTCTCTTTTTTTGTAAATGCTTTTTAAATCTCCACACTAGACGCAAAGTGACAGTCCATTTAAGTTAACCAAATAACTAATCATGCATAATTTCACTACTACAATTTCACTTGACTGTATGCCTAATGCATTTTAGGCGTGTATTTTATGTCATAAATATTGGTAATTTTCAAATGGGGTACGAATGTTAACAGAGACCAGTTCAACGCAACAACGAACTCCGTTCGAAGTAAATGACCGAAGAACAATAAAATATTAATTCAGTAATTCCAGCAGCAACGCCCAATTGAGGTCAACAGTTACTCTTTACCTGAATTTTACTGTAACATTACCTACTTTTTTATTGAGTTTCATAGTCATGGGGTGACTATAACGGAACGTCTGGTTTCAATATTTCTATAGTTCACTATCTATATAACTCTGATTTCTGAAACATTAAAAATACTTCTTAGTGACATACTTTTAAAAGTTTTAGATGTTAAGAGGGGAGGGCAATGTTTTTTCCATACAAACGTTCTCGACTGATTCCTCCTTGATTGTTATCACTAAAGAATAGATTGACGTACATAAAATATAAGTTCACTTATTCTGTGCTCCTAAGTCTTCCCTTTTTCGATAACTTGTGTTTCAAAGAAACTAGAAGCTCTCAAAAATGACAAAAATTAACAAATTTTTATCACCAAATAACGGGCGTCTAAGATAATCCCAATTAGATAGTCCTGTATCTCATATTCTTAGTCACATAAAATATTTAAATGCAAATTCATAAATTAGGTAGATAATAATTTAAGAAAGATTTTACAATGCCTTTTCTTTTCCATAATGCGGCGTTTACACATAGTGCTCAAATAGTTCTGAGCGAGCAAACATTACTTCGCTCGTTAAATGGAAATATCGTACCGATCGAACGAGTTTGTTCAACGACGATCGGCTTATCTCATGTGTCTCAGCCAGCATTCCCGCTCATCATTCAATGGAAACAACGTAATACCTCCACTTAGCGTTGCCAGGCGTCCGGATAAAACCGGACATAGTTAGGCTTTTTGATTGCGTGTCCGGCAAAATTAAACGGTGTACGGCTTTTGCGGCGTTTGTTAGGCTTTTTACATTTCACAATAAGCGAGCGCCGAGCATGGCCGAGTTGACTGTCGATTCTTTTTATGTCGACTTTAGAAAATTTTTTTTTCGTACTAATATTACTGAGCCTTATCCTCAATAATGTTGGCTGTCCGACCTTTTTACCCAAATATCCAGCCAAACTTGCTGGTCTGTCCGGATATTATGTTTGGCAACTTGGCAACCCTACCTCCACTACACTACTCTCGAAGTTAACTGAGGTTGTGCCACAGATTACTACTACTACGTACAGACTGCCAACTGCAGAACTAACTTTTTTTCTTTACATAGTATCTAAGTAGTCTGTGGCACATCCTCGGTTATAAGTCGCGGCCCGAAACTATAGCGCTGACCGTTATTGCGCAGAAGTAAAAATTAAGATGTCTTGGGGGAAATGAAGTGCGCGGGTGGGCGTGCGTTGCGCAGATTGGCTCTCCAGTCGTACCTAGAGATGGGATTTTACTCGGAAAAAACCTAAATGTGGGAAAAAATAGGGAAAAAACCCAGGGAAAATTCCCGAATGGGATAATATTCGGGTTTTTTCATATTTAATATATGTAACATCTAAGTAATGTGTAGATACATGTATATATCAAATAGTACGTACTATTTTAGTACTATTACTACTAGTTAGAGCTAATCTAACTTTGTTTATTTTCATAATTCAATAAGTACGATAAATATACTCCTTGCTATCTAATTAAATAAAAATCCTGTCTGTTTGTGTGTGTTCATCCGCTCTTAGCGACAAGTAACCCGAAGCTACGTACGCGGCCTCTACCCGATAAAACAAGAATACATCTTTTTGTTGTTATAATAAACTGCCGGTTTTATTTTAGTTCCTGAATCAGGCTACATATTTTGACGATTCGAACAACTGGCAACAGCTAGTGCCCTATATACGCTGGCGCAAAGTATGTGCGCATCGCAAAGATCCTATTTTTCGCTACATTTATTCAAAAAAAACGTATTTTTTTAAGATCGTGATAATTACGTTAAATAATGAAAATACCCGTCTATTGGGTTTTTTCCCACATGGGAAAAAACCTGGGTATATTCCCGTTGGGTTTTTTCCAACTGCCCATCTCTAGTCGTACCCATGCGCAGCTATCCTCTCCGTGTTTTGTTCAGCGCTAGAGTTATGTGCCGCGACCTGCAACTTCGCGAGTAGTGTAGGGGCGGCATAAAGATGAACGAACACTTGCACGACCTTACAAGCTTTAGAGCATTTGTTCGTTTAGTTACAACAGTGGAAACAAGTACTATTTGTTTTGAGCAAACATTTTGTTCAGGGCAAACAATTTGCTTGGAGCTTTGATTTGCTCTGAACAAAATGTTTGCATGGTAGTTAAATCGAAACGCAGCATTAGGTGTAATTAACCTCTGACTCTTAAAATAAAACACTTTTTCTACGCAAGTTTATCGTGTCGCCAGTCTTCCGACCACGGATCCTATAAAGATTCTGAAACGTCAAGAATACTAGAAAAAATCTTTTTTTTTACAAAGAATCTGCAACATCAAGAATAAAGCAAAATTTTCATAATTTCGCTTTGTAATCCGTTTAAAATGTCATAAAAAAATGATTGGTTTGCGTGAAAATATATGAAATAAGAAAATAATCTCTTTCTACCCTTAGCACGAACCAATATCGAATTCGAATAGTTGGATTCATTTGACGTGTATCGAGATCGAATGGAAATATTCGATTTCGATATTGGTTTGTGCTAGGGGTAGGATTTGAATCTAAATAAATCTGAATATTGCGGGTGACGACGAGAAATTGGTATTGTTGTTTTTTTCTAGTAGAAATAGTTTTAAAAAGAGTGTTTTTTTATCACAGCCCGGACCTGCAGAAGATTTGGACGTCCCAGATGGAACTGTCACCGTCAAGCAGCGGACGCTGGACTGCGGTTGGGGCTTGTTCCGCCCGAAGTGGCTGCAGCGCTTCCGGACCGCCAAATGGGCACTCTTCTGGCTGTGCTGGGCTGGTGCGATACAAGGTATGACATACAATTTAAGAGACGTAACCCATAGTGGACTTTCCGCTCGGATTGAAGCGTCCGTCTGGGTAAAACCTCTACCTACAGAAAAACATTATAAAGTAACATTATCTTTTGGTGTTGTGTTTCTGTTGGTGACTAAAGTTCCAGGGCTCCAAGGAGATTGGGTCAGGGTTGGCAAATGAGCTTTGGTATCCCAAGTGTGATTGTATTGTATTCGTTTATGTTTCGTTGTAGATGTATAGAATTCGCAGAGTTTGAATTTAAATGTCAAAGTTATTAGTCTCTTTTTATTATTATCTTCTTACATTTATGTTTAAGTAATTAGTGGAAAAGTGTTATCTGTGTAGTGTGCGTGCACTCAAATTCGAAAACAAGCATATGGCTGGCTATATATGTACACATTTATATAGTACTAGTTGACCCAGCGAACTTCGTACCACCCTAAAAAAATAGGGGTTGTCCAGCGGACAAAATTGTGAATCTAAACCATTCTCAGATCCCCTTGAACACACACAAAAAATTTCATCAAAATCGGTCCAGTCGTTTAAGAGAAGTTCAGTGACATACACACTCACAGAAGAATTATATATATAAAGATGGTGGGCGCTAGCATTAATTAACTATCACATTCAAATTCAAAGTACGCGAATTCTATAGGACTAGAACGAAACATAAACGAATACAAAACAAAACACTTACGATGTAGAAATCTATCAGCGCCATCTATTAACAGTATTAATAGATACATTTTTTATGAAATTACTTTACCGTTCTTCTGCGTGGCTTTAAATTGTAATAAATTTTGATAGAGTAAACCGATTTTAATAAAATAAAGCTCATTGTATTTGATGCATGCTTGGTTTGATACGATTTCAAAAATACAAGTAAAGCATCAGACTAAAGTTCTAAAAAATATACAAATTATAATACATATCTATAATTTTTAGTACCTACAGCTACTCATTACAAGTCCTTTTTTTTGAAACATACGCTATGTAGAGATTCGTGAATCCTGCGATTTTATTTTTTGAGAATCCCTCAGAATCCTAATATTTATACGATAAGAAAAGTATCCTATGTCTTTTCCCGGGTCTTAAACTTATCTCTATACCAAAGTTACGCTCAATCGGTTTTAGCGTGAAGAGGTAACAGACAGACATACAGGACACACTCCCGCAATTATAATAGGTACTAGTATGGAAGGAAGTATGGATGTCAAATTGTAATATTATCCCTAATATTTTTATTTTAAAACAGTTAACTGCTAGATGATATCTTAGAAAACAAAACTTAAACATTCAACTTATTGGGCCTGTTACCTGGGCCGTATTTCAATAATTCATTTTAACCCGTCTTGACTATTTTCTCAAAACTTATACATGCTTTTACTAAGATGGCAAATTAAGCATCCATTACAACACACATTATTATCTTATAAGGTCAACATGGTTTAAATAAAATTATTCAGTGCGGTACTTACTATATCTATGTTTGTCAAAGATTATAATCTTTGACAAACACAACTCAGATTATACCCAGATAGATTGTGAGCTAGGAGCCGCACATGGACTTAGATTTCACTTGTTTCAAGGTCCTACCTAGCTTTAAGAGCCCTTTCACATTTTTTGCAAAAAAACGTAACCTCGTATTTTGATATTGAATTAAATAGAATTACTATCAAAAACTTTCATAAAACTAATCTACCATCATTGAAAATGACTGACTACGAAATATGTATATAAATTTATAATTAGTTCATTAATAATTATTCTGTAAGACTCGAAACATCACCCGTGAAATACAATATATACTAGTGCAAATCTACCTACGCGCCGATCAGTGGGCCAATCGCCTAACTGGATTGCTTTGGAAAACGCTATCGCTTACGATTTCATTTTGTTATTTCTAACCGCCGAAATACCTCACGCTCATTTTCTTTAACATTGTAATTACCAATGCAAAAGAAAAAAAAAGAGCGCGAGGCATTTGAAAACCTCAGGGGGCTAGAAATAACAAAATGAAATCGTAAGCGATAGCGTTTTCCTAAGCAATCCAGTTAGGCGATTGGCCCCCAGTACCGCAGCGGCGCAATTTTGTAAAAGGACTCTTAAGAGGTAGAGCAAAGCTAATTTACCGCTCGGAGCGCCTGTCTGGAGAAGTAACCTCCACATTACAGAAGACCACAGTGAAATAAAACCACCTTTTGATTGTATTGTGTTTTGGTGAGTAAAGGCTTTTAGGGCTCTACGGGGTAAGGGATTGGGTCAGAATAAGCAACGGCGCTAGTGATATTTTTGTTATCACAAGCGTCTATAGATAGGCTATGGTGACCGCTTACCAGGTACGCTTATCAGGTGGGCCATATACGGGTTTACCATCCGTAAAGCATAAAAAAATTGCTAACAAGTACCTATAAATGGTTTCAAATGAGCAAGTAACTATACATTCATTAAGGAATAATTATGGAACACACGTTTCTGTATCTTGAGGTGGGCGCTAATAGCTGTAACATAGTTCTAGATACTAATATTGCTATTATCGAGCCTAAACATGTAATTTTTATGAGTTCCAATAAATATATGAGTATCTTCATTCCATTTAATTCTTCGGTAGATATTGTAAAATGAATGGAAATTTCAACTTTACTAAAATCACGTACTTGTTAGCTCGTAGTCTAAAACATAAAGATAAATCGGTTTAATTAACAGATATCCTGTTATAAGTTGCGGCACGAAACTCTAGCCCTGACCATAATTGCGCAGAAGTAAAAATAAGATGTCGTAGGGGGAAACGAGGTGCGCGGGTGGGCGTGCGTTGCGCCGATTGGCTCTCCAGTCGTACCCATGCGCAGCTATCCCATCCGCATTTTGTTCAGCGCTAGAGTTACGTGTCGCGACCTATACCTAAGTGTTTAAACTACTACCGATATATGACTGTGTAACTAAAGGATTTTTATCATCGTAAAATAAATACGATTCAGATAATACTTACATACCGCTTTAATTTCGTGGTCGCCTAATTTTAAATTAACTCTGTCGATATGAAATAGAAACGTGTATTTTTTAAGCCTTTTAGTGCAACATCGATGTTCTGTGGTGAAAAAAAAAGTTGAGGTAGTTGCGATTGAATTTAGGACCTTGCACTAGGGGCAAAAGGTGATCTTCGTTCATGGCACCTATGTGAACCGCTAACATGGTATCCAAAGTCCAAACTCAGTTGAAGGAACAGATAATTATGCTCTTCAACATCGTGCACAACAATGTATAATTTAATAAGGGTCTTCATCTTGAGCAAAACCACAGACAAATAAACTTGCGCAGTAGACGTTTTTGTGTCTTAATTTTCAACTACGCAGGCTTTCTTGTCTTTGGTCGATGCTCAAGAATTCGACCGGGATATTTTAAGCGCATGAGTAAAAAAACATAAAGTCCGTACAGAAAAAAGCTTCATACATTAACCCCCTTATTAATATATGAGGAATAAGCTTGGACTGCTACGCTGCGTTTTGTTTATATCACTCAAATGCCATTTGTCACTCAATGAACAGAGACAAAACATGGAGTAAGTAATTCTAACGTATTCTTCGTTTATTAATAAGTGGGAATAGTTACGTAACTTATGAATATCTCATAATTTGAGTAAATTAAACCTATTCCCCCTTATGCTACCACGGCCCTGATGGCCGCGTCGAAATTTTCCTAGCCTTAAACTGCAAGGCTGCGCCATCGCTTCGCATTGTAGGGGGAATAGGTTTTTATTTACTCAAATAGTGAGATATTTATAAGTTCTTAACCAGTGATAGAATTGGGTGAAATGAAAGGACAAGCATATTTTTCGCCATATCTATACACACACGAAACTGATGATATTTATTTAGTAACTAAATATATGTCTTCTTTGAAAATAATTAGACGATAATGTAAAATCATAGCTTGTTTTCGAAGTATTCAAGGTAGAGAAAGTGCGATTCTGGTTACTGAATAGCTATTAAAATTAGAAGAATTTTATATTCCTTTTGTTTCTGAGGTTTTCACGCACACCACTCATTAAATAAAACAAGTTTCAACAGTATAAATGCACTGATTTATTTATTTATGACGTTTCAGGCTGCGTCGTCAGGATTATAACGCAGCCTGAAAAAGGTGCATCCTCGCATTATCTATACAGAATGAAATGGAATATAAATAAAACAAGTTTCAACGGTATAGATGCACTGAGTTATTTATTTATGACGTTTCGCATCATTTTCAGGATGCATCGTCAGGATTATAACGCAGCCTGAAAAAAGGTGCATCCTCGCATTATCTATACAGAATGAAATGAAATATAAATAAAACAACATCTTATTGATGAATGAAAATATAAAATAAAAAACAAACACATGTTTTTTAATTTGTTTTCATTATATATTTTCAGGTAAGCTAAGATACTGTATTGTTGAGTTGTGATGAGGTTGGTATTCTAAATATGATAGTGGATTGTGAGTACATGAGATTATTAGCACATCAGTACCCCTAGCACGAACCATTATCGAATTCGAATAGTCTGCAAACCGAAATGTCAATGTCAAATTTTGTATGGAAACTTGAACAGCAGCGGCACGAAGTACGTAACGAGAACTACACATTTGATAATGACATTTCGGAGTCGCAAACGTAACGAATTCGATATTGGTTCGTGCATCACAGTACATTATACTAACTCTAACCTCCTAGTAATAAACGAAGAATAAGCTTGGATTGGATTAATTACTCCATGTTTTGTCGCTGTTCATTGAATGGCATTTGAGTTTGACATTTTGAAGTTGATTTCATAGTATGGCATTTGTGTGATATGAACAAAACACGGCGTAATTAGTGCAAGCTTTTCCTCGTTTATTAATAAGGCGGTAAAAGTTTGTATGACTAAGAGATGGTGTATATAATCATCATCATCATCATCATCAACCCATGTTCGTCTACTGCTGGATATAGGTCTCCCCTAATGCACGCCACTGC